ATCATCATAAGTGATATATATTCATATAATTCATACATGCATTTTTGGCTACCCTGTCCCTATCATATGCGCCATTCTAATAAATCTCTTTTTGAAATATATTTATCCTGTTGGTTCTTTCCCTTTAGAGAACCATGACTAATACATCCTTTTATATAAAGGATCTGAGAATCCATAGGTTTTGAAATCCCATAACCAATCTTCCACAAATACCAAGGTATGAGTATATGACAGAGCCTGTCAGGTCTGCCTCTCTGCATAACCTTGGCTACTACAGACATACAAACATACCTAGGGCAAACTCCTCTGAGCTAGTGTTGTGGAAGATGAGACACACATATAGAAATAAATATCTATTGACAAGGTGAACAAAGAGTCGGGACAAGTAATTGAATCTGTAAAGAAGGGGGAAGGTATGGGAAAGACAGTAAACAGGGTTAAGAAAGACTTCTTGAAGGTAGTGTTTAATCTCAGCCTTGAAGGATGGTTTGGAATCCATTGGGTGGGGAGAGAAGAGATCATAGGAAGAACACACAAGTACAGGGAGCACCCTGAGTGGAACACAGAAACTGGAAAGTACAAGAATGATCCAGTGTTGCTTGTGTAAAATGCCTGATCACAGAGAGGAAGTGAGCTGAGATGACACTGGCCAGGGTGTTAAAAATGCAATCCCCATTTGAAAAGATCAGATGGGTTGTGGAAAAAGCTATCACTTAAGCACTTGCAAACATGAGGACCCAAGTTCAATCTCCAAAATCATCACATGATGTCTAATCATGGTTATCAACCTGACTACATCTGGAATCACCTAAAACTCAAGCAGCTGGGAATGCCCTCGGGACTTTCTTGATTGTACTATTTGAGTTGTAAAGACCCACCCTAAATCTGAACAATACCTTCTGATGGCGGCCCACGGAAAAAGACATGGAAGAAGGAAGCTTTTGCTTTTTGCCTTCTTTCCCTCAATCTTGATGGTAAGTTCATCTGTCACAGACAACACACATATATGGGAGGGACTTTGCAGACCTTGCAGCTGGCAGAGTAACCATTTGTGTAAAGCAAAAAGAAAGTACAGTTCAACAGGACTCAGTAGACAGTGTTGGTCCAAACTTTGAGAGTCTGACACTGGGCAGTTTATTTCAGGCATACTTAAGTACAGTACAACCTGGAAAAAAAGTTTCCTGGTGTAACACAATCCCATGTGCACAATGGGGCATAATTACATAGAAACTCTCTTCAAAGATCATGTCACTTCTTCCATGAAGATGGTTCTATAGATGGGCTACATGTGTCATCTTAAGGATGTGGGCGAAGGCTAGTGTGGTTTCAGTCATACAGATAATGCAGAGGTCATCTAGGCTGTTAGCCACCTCCAGTCCCGCTTGTGGGAACTTAAGGAAGCAAGGTATGACCCCACAGATAGCACAGTGGTCACCTAGGCTACTGGCCAACTCCATTCTCAGTCTTCTTGATGGACAACAGATTATAGATTCCTTTGGAGGGAAACCCCTGCTTGTTTAACGTCCCAAGTCTTCCTAGTGGTTATCCGGGAGCACAAGAACCTTTGTATGATGTCTTGTAATTCTCACACTTAGGAGGAGGAGACAGGTAGATCCCTGGAGTTCACTGACCAACCAGCTTGTAGCAAATTTCAGGCCAGACAGGTTAAGAATATGGTAATCATCATTTGAAAAAATAATCAGAATGTCTGGGAAGATGTCTCATCTATTATTTTAATATTTTCTGAGAAATGACACCCAAAGTTGTTCTTTGGTCTCTACATATAGGCTCAGACATGTGCACGTGCACCCATACATACATGAACATGCATCACCCACACATACAGAAGTAATCAGAAGCATCAAGACTGAGAAGAAAGAGAACACAGTCATGAACTGCAAACAGCTGATAAAGAGATAACTAATGAGCCAAATGCAGGAACTCAATGATGCTACGAAGGTCCAAGGCCAGGTAGGCTTCAAGCTTAGTGCAAAAATTGGTTCACAGATGTTTGTAACACCCTTCATTCTTTCAATGACCATTCCTTGAACAGTAACTATGTGTCATCCAATGAGACTGGCTGTCTGCATGACCCAAAGAATCTAGAAATGAGTTTGTACCAACCAAAAGGACGGCCACATAAATAGACCATTTTAGTTAGTGGTAACAACATGGAAACTAAGAGATGGCCATTTGACTTATGCTGGCCTTGTCTTGGGCTTTGGTTTCTGTTGAAATCCTAGTATGTCCATTTGGGGGGAAAAAAACTGCATCTTGTCCTGTCCAAAACACAAGCCACGCCTTGCTAGGTACTCGTACTCAGAAGTCTTCAGCTGGCCTTCAAGGTAACCTGAGATAGCTCTGTGTCTCTCATGCTACTGTGCACCTCACCTAAATGGAGCAAGAAAAATGTTACATGAAAGACAATGGTAAATATATTACTGTATCAACACAAGATTTTAGCCAGGGCCAGGGGCAGATGTCATGCTGGGAGGAAAAGGAAAGGAAATGTGTGGTTGAATCAAAATATGAGAGAAGAGGGAAGGAAGGCTGTGACTATTCCTCCAGCCTTGGGGAAGCTAGATTTCTGATCATAGTTCCTTCTCTGACCTAGTAACCAAGCTTCACATTCCTCATCCATAAGGTCAGATATGACTTGCTGTGCACACAAAGGGAAAACCACATGTCTGTCTGGTTTAAAAGAAAATGCAGGGAAAGGGCACAGGATATATGTACAGAGAGTACCAGCAAATGTAACTTCAGGACACCTGTCTGTTGCGCCTCCCTATTTCCTCATTTAAACTGGACATGACCACACCCTTTCCAAGGCTGTGGGAGACTCATTTAGTTAATATAGTTAAGGTACCCTACCCACGTTCAAACTTTCTAATGTGTACCATCACTTCTCTCCCAGGCTGAGCTCAAAGCCTGGATAAACCTTTGGATCAATTGAAGGAGGACTTTCAAGGACTTTAATTCTGAAGTTGGAGTTTAAAGTTATTTCAGAAAGAAGTTATCAAGTCTCAGCAAGTTGCTATGGGTTTTTTTTTCCCCTGGGATAGCCCCCACCCCAACCCCAACACATCTCATCCCAAATGCCTGAGAGGACAGTTCTCACCCAGGTGACTCTGATCCACCTGGTTTAAGCCCATTCTGACTTCTGCACACACACACAAATGTAAGCACATGGCCTCAGTATCTCCTAACATAGCACAGAGCATCACTGGATCTCCACTACTGCAGGTTGGGCACAGCCATTTCCAGTCACTCCCCAGCTTTACCAGGTCAGTTGCTTCCAAGGACAGCTGACAGCCTTTTTTAGTCAAGTAGTTGCTCTCTGATATACATTGTCCCTAATGCTCAAAGTCTGGTGGGTGGTGATTGTTTTGTATCCTTATCAGCAAAGGGTAGACTAGAGTCAACCAGTTCCTTTGATAGCCTCAGGATGTCTAGGCTGCCATTCAAATAATTACCAACATAACTTGAATCCTCAAGTCACAGCAACACATTTATTAGACACTTACTATATAATTTCCATTGCCTAGATCAATGGAAAGATAGGAACACTTTCTAGCTTTAAGGAATTGATGGTATTCCTTATCCTCCCCCTCTCCCCCCACACAGAAAAGTTATATACTAAAGGGTGGTTGGTGAGTGCTATTCTCTGAAGATAACAGCCATTATATTCTTCAGACATAATTCTTGAGATTCTTGAGAAAGGTTCCAGTGACTGGAAGGAGGAAGTGAGGAGGGTCACTAAACCCTCCCTTGAGATTCCAGCCACCTCTCAGCCAACCCTAAATAGGTGCTAGAGTACACAGATTAGGGGAAGGAAACAGAAGAATGAGGAAGGCATCCATGATGCTGTGAAAGTTTTAGGCTTTGAGATCGGTCATGCTGCTAGACTGGAAGTACCCTTACAGAAAGCTCAATAAACCTTTTGGTTCAAGAGCGAGTTTGGTGGAATACTTTAGTTTGTTACTGATTACTTATCTGGAAGGAGCGGCTGACACCCTAGGAAAATATCATGAAACAAGGACACACTGTCACAGCATCATAGACAGTGGCATTGTTTTTTGTTGTTGTTTTAATCCTGAATTGTATTACTGCCACACTGGATATTTAGAAGATGCCTCTGGTAGCATATGTGAAGAAGTGAAATAGTATGATAGTCAATATCACTCAGGGGTGGTCAGGGTGTTACTTAGAGAAAGGTAGCTGTTAAAGAACTTTTGCTTCAGGAGGAAGGGTGTGGCTTAGAGCTACCTTTTTTTTTTTTTTTTTTTTTAACCCGTTGTTCAAGAACTGAACCCAAACAGAGCAAAGGTCTTTACAAAGATGCAGAACTACGCTAGGTTCTCAACACAGTTAGCAGTGTCTACTCACATTCGGACCTGTATGTCACAATCCCTGAGTCCCTATCACCTCCCCCTTCCCCACAAGCCCCTGTAGTTCTTATGGTTCTGCTTTTCACATTTTAAACTACTCATCGTGCATGCAACTTTTGTCTAACCCTGAATGGGAGACGAAAACATTAGCCAACAAAGTAAGAGCAACAGACGAGGGCCGCTTCTAGAACAAGTCAGGCCAGGGAGAGCGCAGGGCCAGCGGAAATCAGAGGGAAGATGCTCCTTGGGGGCCTGGACCAGGTCACAACCCCCGCCCGGGGGCTTCGGAGCTGCAGAAGAGGAGGCGGTGCCTTGGGAGGGAACGTGGTAAACGCAGAAGCAGCGCCCACAGCCGGAGAGGAGGAGGACTGAGGGACTGGGCGGCTCCGAGGTCGGGGCGAGCTGGCCGCGGACAGGGGACGGCCCGGGGCTGCAGAGAGGCGCGTGCCCTAAGTCCGGGAGAACGCGTGTGCCCCACGCTCCGGCACTCAGGCCGGCCCGGGACACGGAGGGAGCCGGGAGAGAGCTGCCGAGTGGGGCTGTGAGCAGGCAGGGAGTCCAGCTCGCACAGCTCGGGAGCAGGCTGGGTCTTGGCGCTCTCCGCCAGCCGCCGGTGCCTGCCCGCCCGGAGCCTGGGTGTGAGGCTGGCGTCACGTCAACGAGCAGAGGCGGCCAGGCGGGGCGGAGTGCGCGTGCGCGGCTCGCTCGCCGGGTGTGGGAGCGGGCTCGGGGCGGCGGGCACGCGCACGCGCGCACCCCGGGCAGCCTAGGCGGCCGCTCCTGCCTGTCACTCCTGCGGCGCTGCTCGCTGCTCCTTCCCTTGAAGGCAGCGGAGGCGGCGGCGGCGGCGGCGGCTCCTCCAGACACCTGCGGCGGCGACCCCCCGGCGGCGGCGCGGAGATGTGGCCCTTGGTGGCGGCGCTGTTGCTGGGCTCCTGCTGCTGCGGTGAGTGGCTCGGGGATCCCGGCGGCTCCCGGCCGGGCTGGTGCGCAGAGCCCGGGTGCCCCCGCAGGAGTGTGGGCTGCACCCCTGCCGGTCAGGCGGCGCTGGGAGAAGAGCGGAGAGGAGAGGAGAAGAGAGGGTGGCGGGATGCGCGGGCCCTGCGCACCCAGAGCGCCACCGTGGGAGGGCCCCGCGGGGCATCGGCGCCCCTGCCTCCTCCCTCCGATCTCCTGCCGTGGTCCCTTTGCCCCCACCGCCGGGGGAGAGCGGGCTGAAGCTCCTCACTCTCTGGTGCGCACACGTAGGGAGACGGAGAACGACCGCAACTGTGCAAAGCTGAACTGCGAAGAAAGCGAGGGGGGCAGCTGCCAGGGACCCCCTCCTCTTGTACCCCTCTCCCTTCTCGGTGCTTCCACGCAGCGTTTGGGGCTGAAGGACTGGAGTGGGAGGGCCGGGCCGCTTGTGAGGAAGTGCGCATTTTGGTGAAGTCGACCAGAAAGGCTTTTGCCCTACCGGGTTAGCTCTGGAGCAGAGGGGACGCGATGAACCTAAGTTTTATTTCCCCAGCATTTTTCAAAGATTTTTTTTTTTTTTTCTTTTCTGGCCGCGTATTTTGGTAGTTGTTGTTTTGAATCCTAAAAACAAGCTTCCTGGAAACACTTTCTGCTGACACCCCCGCCTCCACACCCCACCCCCCGCCAGCACTTTAATATATTCAATGTGTTCCTTATTGTAGATTGAAGTTTTTTTTGGTTTTTGCTTTGTTTTTTGTTTTCTCCTCCTTTGGGGAAACGTTTTCTTTCTTTCCTTTTTTTTTTTTTTTAATTTACTCAGATGTTGCCAGTGATCTAAAGACAGTAATAACGAATCAAACACATATGCAGCAGTCTGGTCCTTAGATGCCAAACATGCCCCCCCCCGTCCCCATTTTTGGTAAAGTGTTTTGCTGTTTATTAACGTGTGCCTCGTTTGTAAAAAAAAAAAAAAAAAAAAAAAAAAAAAAAACTGAGAAAAAAATAGGACTTTTTGTGACCATATACTGCTTGTCACGCCTCATATCCATAGATTCCTCTATGAACTTTTCTGTAAGATTCACAACAGACTTGAAGCAAGGATAACAGCAAATGTTAAATTTGACCTAGGATGTGAACTAATTCAACGTTAAACTGACGGTTAACCTCAGTGTGCCGTTGATAAAGGCCCATGTCTGGGAACTATTTCCAAGATGCCTTTAATTCCCTGCTCACCACTTTCCCCTCCCTAAGCATCTTTCATGTTGTAGCTGATAATAGTAAAGATCTATGTTATCTGAATTGTTGGTGTTAGGTGCTTTCCGACTCCAGTCATCTTTACTATGCTTGTTGCCATCGCTATCATTATAACACTGTTTTCAAATACCTGTTTTATAATCAGAGAGCTTTCATATTGAGCCAGGTATAAATTTGTAACAAAATGCCAGTAATTCAGACCATGCATGATGAAGCTTGGTTGTCTGAAAAGTAAAAATAATAAGCCATATGCTGATTTTTTTAAAGCCCAATTTTCAAGTAGATTAAAAAACAAAACTGTTTGAATGGTGGCTTTGGTGATAGGAATTGTGTTAGGCCTTTGTTAGCAATAGTTATGATCACGTTAATTAATGTTCATTTTGTACAATGTTAACACATTTCAATCTACAAAAAGTTGCAAAATTCAGAACTTGTACTATCTTATTGTACTTGTTATTAACTAGCCAAAAAAAAAAAGAAAGAAAGAAAGAAAGAAAAAGAAAAAGAAAAGAAAAAAGAAAACCCAAAATGCAGGCATTATGCTTTTGAGTTGTTAGACATATGTAAATTAGGAAATGAATGTTTATCAGAGATAAAATTCACTTTTGTGTGAATATATCATATGTAGGTTCAAAAGAACACATATGAAAACATGCTAACAGTCTGAGAACACAAAGCAGTTATCAAGGGACCAAGAAAGCTAGATTTAGACTCTAGAATGAGTATGAAAGTCTTGGATTTTAACATTCATTTGGGCTGAAGTTGCTTTCATTTTCAGCTTATAATGAACCGGGTAGCCAGGGGCCATGTCATTGTAATCTCTATAGTATTGGTGACCTCTGTGGTAAAAGGGGAGAGTGTGGGGGACTTCTAAACCTCCTTCAGCCAATTAAAACCGAGTGCAGCCTTCTGTAATGGTTTACAAGATATGGAATGAATGTCTATATTCCTCCCCCTATATGCACAATTACACTTCCTTTAAGAGCATAGCAGTTTCCAGGTAGTCACTAACTGGTAAATACAACCTTAAATAAATAATGTCAGTCATATACATGAACCAATTTTTTTTTTTGATGGTTGAATGATTTTTCTTTGTTCAACATGACTTTTAAAAGTCAGGCATGCACACGATTGAGTTAAAAATGTTTTATTACCTAAATATAGCAGGCATGTAGCTGCTCACGTAAAAATGTTTTCTTTTTCTCTTGAAGAATAGATTATTTTAAAGCACAAGTTGCCATTTTAAAGGGATGAATGCCTCTTCTTGTGCTGCAGAAGCAGTCTGAAGCAACATGCTTATGCACTGCATTAAATGTCTACACTGGGACACTTCTGCTGTCGCCTGGGTTTTGGCAAATAACTTCATCATTAAAGTGCTAATAAAAGTTTGGAAGATCATGTTCTAAAGGCAGAAAAGAGCTACCTACCCCCTCCATTGATACATGTTCTAAATACAAAACTTGCCAAAATTCATGTTTCATTTCAGCAATGTTCTTTATGTGCTACCATTTATAGAGGACCTTTTTACCTGTCTTTGAGGTTTTTGTTGTCAAGATAAAATATAAATGTCTACATTTTTATTGCTTGTGTCTCAGTCTAATATAAAGCATACTGGATTATAAAGTTACTTTCACTTTGCCTATGAGTGCAGTTACTCGTTGGAAAAAGAACAATATTGTAAATTCAATGTTGCTAAACTCATTGTAGTGCAAAAATAGGGGACAGAGCACTCAGCAAATGTGATTCTATTTCCCTAGACCAACCTTCCTAATGCTGCAACCCTTTAATACAGTAATACAATTTCTGACATCTGGGTGACACCCCCCCACATAAAATTATTTTCATTGCTACTTCACAACTGTAATGAATCATAGTGCAAGTATCTGATATACAGGCTACTTGATAAGTGCCCCCCCCAAAGTCAAAATCCACAGGTTGAGAACCACTGCCTTAAACAAAGACTCCAGATGTGGGATCTCCCTGTTTGTGTTTGGTTACATGGAATTGAAATTGCAAGGAGAGGCTCCGCCCTTCTCTGGAATATTTCTTTCCACATCCATGGAGCTCTGCATAAGATTTAGAATCTGCTCAGCCCCAAGACTGCAGAGGGGGAGTAGGTCAAGAGAACTCATGTGTAAAAAAATAAAAAAAAATACTTTTTTCATTTTCAGCAAGTGTGAGCTCATATACTGCACTTCACTAAATACTCTACATGACTCTTAAAGGCTTAAAGGCATAGAAACAAATTCCAAACTTCAAACTTGTATGCACCTTAGTAACTTACTGTGTGGTTTATAGAAAGGAAACAATGTTTATCTTCCAGAGGCACTTGGTATACCTGATAAGGTCAGACTTCAGCATGTTACTACCAACTTTAAACTGCCCTAACCCCTGTGACTCTGAATTGACTACTTTGGTTCTTATAAAGACACTTCAAAGCCAGTGAACGGGGCAGGATTGCTTTGAATAAGACTGAATTAAGCTGTGAACTCCCCACTGGACCCCTAACCTTTATTGTAGCATCTACCAAGGAGAACTAACTCTATCCTTTTCCTGTCCTGACTTAATTTTAGTCTCAGGCCCAAGTTTCTCCTGCCAGAGGCTGGTTCTGTGGGCAGAATGGTAAGGTTCTGTTCTGCCAGCCCTGTCTTTCATCATGGGTGCACCAGTTGCCTCAGAAGCCATTGGGCCTTCTCAACCCATTCATGAACATCATGCCAGCTTCTAATTAACTTCGTATTCCTCTGTGAGAAATGGTAGGGTGGGCTTCCCCACCCAAATGCCTTCCCAACACTACTAAACCTTGCTTCATAGATCGCCTTCTTGCCCACCTGTTTCTTTCAACTAGTTCATTTTCCCAAAGGGATGTCAATTTCTCTATCCCTCCTTCATATCCACCACCTTGGAGACCTGCTCCCAGACCTTATTCCTCAGTCTTATAGTCAAAATCTTGCCCTTGCCATTGACTTATTTACTGCCATTATCAAGTTTTACCTCATAATAAAAAAGAAAGCCAAAGCCTGAGAAGACCCAAAAAATCCTTGCCCTTGTCCTCACCTCAACACTTGTTGGACTTTTCTCTCTGCTTTCTGACTGTGAGGTTTATTTCAAGGCTCACAACTGCACCTCCTGAGTGCAGGTTCCATGTGGTCCCACCCATCCATCGGATAGAAAGCAGCTACTTATCCAGGCGGGCGGTGCCGCTCGCCTTTAATCCTAGCACCTAGGAAGCAGAGGCGGGCAGATCACTGTGACTTCAAGACCATCAAGTTCCAGGACAGGCTCCAAAGTTAAACAGAGAACCCCTGTCTCAAAAAATCAACCCCCCCCCACACACAAAGAAAGATAAAAGAAAGAAAGCAGCTACTTTTGAGTCCTAGGTTGGAGTTTTCAGAGTTTAACATCAGGGTTAGTGTCTCTCACTCTGCCTTGTAGTCTGGTGAATTAGCATGGAGCATGGTGGCTTGTTTTGTTTGCTTTCACTTTGTCTCTTGACTTATTCTCTTTGATTATTATCTCCATTGGTATTGGCATTCCGAAGCTTTTCTTCTCTGATGTTTGCTTTACAAGAACCCTGTGTGGTCATTCTTCTCTATGCTGATGATTTCAACTACCAGTGATGTACCTGCTGATTCCCAGGTCTTTATAGCTCTGACCTTTTCTGTGAAATCTGAAGTCATACATTCTGGGATCGACTGGACATGACCACTTCACTGTACCATTGGTGCTTTTAAT